GACAACCTTAATTGAAATAGTTGTATATCAAAATGTCAGGCACTTGGCATGCAGCTGAGGCAAATGTTTGTTCATTATCAACAGTATTTGAATTCTATTCGCGACTTCAAATGCTTTCCAACATTTTTGGTTTTCCAACATTTGGCTTTCCAACATTTGGCTTTTTTCCAACATTTGGCTTTCCAACATTTTTGGTTTGTTTTCGGATTTACGGTTGTTTTATATTTTATTAAAATACTGAGTGGTTCCCGTAATGTTTGATTTACTTCTACTTTATTCTAACTGACCTTGTTTTTCTATCACATATACCAGCAGGATAGGTTGACTTATTACATTTACCACCAGTGGCGAGGTGGTAGAATGTGGCGAGGAGGCGACACCCTTGCCCCCCCCCCCCTGAATCGCCACGAAAACCATTCTTGCAAAAAATCTAAATCTGTTAAGAAACTGGGCGGGGCGGAGGGATACACGTAATAAAAATCCAAACCCAAGTCTCAATAAAAATCCAAACCCGAATATGATCATGCATGTGCTGGTACCACATTACCTTTCCCACCTTAATTAAAGTACTCAACACTGTAATTATATTAAGTCGGTATATGACTAAGTCTGACATATCTTGGCATAAAACATGATTGGTCTGATGGAATGGACCATTTGCATTATAGACTAAATTTTGATCTAGACTAGCCTGGACAAAAATTTCATCACAGCTTGAAAGAGCATCACAAAATTAGTAATATTCCAAAGTTTCGTTGCGAAATGTTGTAAAATGCGGATAATATAGCCTTGTGAAGTTTGCCGTTTTTCAGTCATTTTGTATTACGCATGGGAAATTGACAGCCCAATCGGGTGTTGGGGCATCAATTTCCCGTTTGTAATACAAAATGACTGAAAATTGCAAATTTCGCAAGGCTATATTATCCGCATTTTACAACATTTCGAAACGAAACTTTGGAATATTACTAATTTTGTGATGCCCTTTCAAGCTGTGATGAAATTTTTGTCTAGATCAAAATTTAGTCTATAATGCAAATGGTCCATTAAAAAAGAAGGTTGCAGTCGATTGTTGAGTATTTTCGTATTCAATTGGGCTTCTTGTTGTAACCTGTAATTTCAGGTTACTGAATGAATACCTTTCAGAAAGTTGTACTTTATGTACTTCATTTGACTAAGTACACCTTGAATTGAGTCTTACGTTTCTACCAGCTCAAGTACACGGCAATAACTATATTAGAGTACTAGCAGTGAATAAATAACACTGACAATAACTGACAATATCCAATACTCAGTAAAACAAAGCCATACAAAGGCAGAGGGGAATTGTAAGCCTGATCATATCTCGCAAAACATACCTGGTCGACCTGTTTCTTGTACTGTGGCCGTATTTTTAGCATCAACAGAGCAAGAAAATTTCCCGTTCTCACGCTTGCCCTCAAAGCTGCGGTAACAGCAGTAAATACCAATCCACAAAGGAAATGAACAATTACACATATATAACCGACAATACCAAATCTTTTCGGATTAAAATAATCCTTATATAACGGCGTCTATCATTTTGCAGATATTTAAAAAACTACATCTCTGAAACTTTGGTCTGTGCACTTTAATGTTTGTGACACAGCAATTTGGGTAAAACGAAGCGGCCACTCAGTGTGTTTTTGTTGATATTCAACAGATAAGAGACATATCAATTAAGTTATTTGAGTGCATGGCTAAAGCCGTACAAAAGATGACAAAATTTCATGGGGAGCTTTTGTGTCTTTGATATTGTTAAAAGTTAATTGAAAATGATCTAAATTTAAGTTGCCGAACATGTTGTGTATAGAAATGACTAGAAAATACCGGAGATTCCATTTTTTCTTTGCTTTTCTTTTTTAAAAAATAAATACAACTCCACAAAGGAATTGTGAACATTTACACATATACATAGGCGACAATACCAAATCTTTTTCGGTGCTAAATAATCATTATACGTCTTAACTGCGCCCTATAATCTTTTAAATTCATATCAAAGCCTGCTAAGGCGAAACAAACCTTGAAATGAGTGAGTTTATAATTGTGACCTACTGACTCGTGTCTGCATGAGATACGTGTTAAAAACGTGTTAAAATACGTTTGAAAAGCTTTTTTATTTCTTGTCACTTTAAAGTGGCTATTGTTCATCAAAAGATGAGAAAATCGAGGGAAACGTTTATGCAATTAAATAAGGAGAATTTTCAGTATTATGGATACAACACATCATTTAAACATCGACTTCTTTGGACTTTCTTTCTTTGAAGTATTAATTAGTTTTACAGTGGAACAAGTACTGTCCACAACACGAGCAGCCGTTTTGTGTATAGGATATACTAACTCTGGCCGAAGTCAAAGGCGAGAGTTTGTATGTAGCTCAGTATTTCAATTAAAGATGATGTCCACTCCTGTGCGCATGTGCGAACTTTGCTTACGTTTTGAACTGCTATATTTGTAAAATATGATATACTAACTGAATATCTAACACTTTTCTGGTTCGCTATACTTGTAAATGAATATAAACTGTACGTTTCAATTCAAAAAAGTTCGAAAGATTCAAAATTTGGGCAATGTTTATATCTGGGGGTCCCCCTTTGTTATGAGCAGAACGGATGCGCAGAACGGAGTGGACATCATCTTTAAGGCTGTCCCCGAGCAAAGCGGAAAAGTCGAATACGAGCGCAAAATGCTGTTGGGAATCGTTAATACATTCATTAATTTTTTTGCGATTTCCAGCAAGCTTTTCGCCCCCGTATTCGACTTTTCTGCTTTGCTTGGGGACAACCTTTTAATTGAAATAGCTGTAGGCCTATACCCGGCGAAACACTGATGAGAGTATTCGTATTCTTCAACAATTTAAAATTGACAAGTTGTTTTCCTTTTTTTTTATTCACTTGTTTTTTCAAACTTTGTAACCGTTTTTGTAATATTAAACCATAGTTTTGTAAATATATATACCATACCCTGTAAATTCATTTAGATTGCTCTGAAGATGTTGTATTGTAAACAACGAAACATTAGCTACTAAATTTGTACTTTTATTATGCTTGGTTTTAAAGTTATTTGCTGGGCTCTGTTTGTTATCTTTAAATTAAGATTTCCGCCTGGTGTATCAATTGCCACAGTTTTCAAATGAGTGAATGATATTTGGTGAGAAAATTGAACGACTGAACAAGTGAATGAATGAACGAATGAATGGGTTAATGTTAATAATATTTGGTGAGATAATTAAAGTTTATGTAAATCAGCATGATTTTGTATCAGATATAAAACCTCATTCACGCTCATGATTTTTTTGTGTTTTCTTCATGAACTACTATTAATGAGTTTCACAAAGTAATGTCAAGCATGATTTTGTAAAAACAATTAAATTAAAGTAGTTATAACTTTATTTTAAACAAATATTGACTTTGTTAACACCCACAAACTATAATATGTTACAGACGTTGACATATGCTTACAATGTATACAGTAAAAAAGCTCGTTAAGTATTAAGAGTGCAAATTTAGGTGATCTCCAATGCCCAATTATATCTGGCCAGCCTTATATATTTGATGAGAATGCGGCTACATGCATGACTTCAAAATTAGTCTCCTAGTTAGAAACGATATTTAAATTAATTAGTATCTATGGAAGTACATATATAAGAACCTAAAATAAATTAGTGCTATTACAATTATATAAAATTTTGAAAACTCCTAATTGGTATATATACATACACCATCGTTAATCTAAGTTCAAATATTTCTAGACAACAGCAGGGGACACCGAAATTATAGGAGGGAAAAGGGGGGGAGGGTGTTATAAGATTATGGTCTTATCAAGAGCACAAGAACAAACTGTTAACTATTACCCCTAGCTTTTACTAACGAACATGTTTTTCCAAAATCAAAAAGATGAGAGATACAGCTAACCCCCACGCCCCCTAGGAAAACGATAAGACAACAACTCCTCCCCCTCATTTCTCTTTCCTCCAGTTTCAGTGTCCCCGGAAATTCAAAATCTAGGATGGCAGAAAGCGGTTGACCATATCGATAGGTACAGGGAATATGATGGTGGAATTCTTCTCGGCTGAGATCGTGTTGAGTGTCTGAAGATATCGCAGTTGTAAGGCTGATGGGGACTCTGACATCACTTCTGAGGCTTCTTTCAATGAACGTGCTGCTTCGCGCTCGCCGTTTGCTGCAATCACCTGGGTAGAATTGAAAATGAGAATTTTAATATTCGTTAATGTCACAGAGTCTACAAATAAACCAACCATATCTAAAAAAAATAAAGTTTAGCCATTCCACACTGCCACATATCACACTACTCCATATAGTACCATATTCACCTGGCCACACCAGTCATCCTACAACAAACTATACAGAGTACACCATACCATACCATACTACACTATGCACCATACCATACCGCTCTACCATACCATATATCACAGCATACCATATCACACCATATATACTGACCATATCATATCACACGATACCATACTAATCACATCTACCGTATCACACCATACTATCACTGCACCATATACTATACCATATCATAGCATACCATATCAAACCATACAATATCACACCATATATCACACCTACCATACTATACCATATCATTTATACCGCAAACCATACCAAATTATATCATACCATTCAACACCAAATTTATACCACGCTATCCCTTCCCATACCATACACAACACCATGCCAAACTATAAAGCACCATATTGCCCTATGCCACACCAGATCATACTGCCCCATAACAAATCATGTGATATAATACCATCATCATCGCCATTCTATACCATCATCTTTGGTACAAAACTAGTGGTACAAACCTTGGCTCTCGCTTCTCGGGATGCTTCCGCCTCGGCCGCCATGGCGCGCTGCAGTTGGGTGGGAAGACGAATGTCTTTACTAAAAAACGTTAACAAATATTGATGGTAAATATTCTTCACATAAAATGTAAAAGAACCAAGTTAAAGAATAAATTAACCAGTTAAGAACCATCATATACTTACACTTCGACTCGCTCAACTTTCACTCCCCATGGGTCGGTCGCCTCATCCAGGATCATCTGTTGAAAAAAAATTTAAAAATTGAATTTTTAGCTGTCTGCCTTACTTACTCTTTGCTTCGTATCATACATGCTCTATTTAAAAGAATGAAAAATAATAGTTAGATATTTACCACTAAGGTATTCTTCCATATGTCCCTCATAAAGATATTATATATAACTATATATGACTGTATGATTTTTTATGACCTGATGCCAAAGCATTGACAAAGCACAACATGTTTGCATATAGCGCAGGAAAATTTATTCACTTATTAGATTGCTAGGTAAGGAATTGAAAAATCTTGCACCACTTTAGGACATCTAAAAGCTTTATTTATGTCGGTTTTAACTAAAAGGAGCCTCAAATCTGTCTGAACTGATCTTATGCTACTGTCACTATCTTAAACATCGTACCTGCATTGTATTACTGATCGTCTCTCGATCTCCGAAGATTTCCGACAAGTTCTTACTTCCGATCATGTTCCGAAGAGTGGTCTGCGCCAGAAGTCGTGTAGAGGCCTGGGCATCACTCACGTTCGTCACGGAAATGGTAGCATTATAAATTCTGAAGTAGACTACAGCATCCACCGTTACTGTCACGCTGTCTTTAGTCAAGACCTAAACCAGAGAAACAAGATCATATGTAATGCATATATTGTATCTCAACTGCATGTCTTCATAACCACTACAGTCTTGTTTTGCACATCACAGGAGAAACTTCATTAAAATAAAAAATGTCCTAAATGGGGGAGTTCGTAGGCTTATTATTTGCCGTGTAAATTAAAGTTTTGGGCTACGTATTTATCTCTCACTTGTGTGATCGCGGTTTGATTCATGTAATATACAAATGCATTGTCTGATTATAATTTCACCTCAGTCCGATGTGAGAAGAATGCTTCCAGTTTGGTTCTATCAGTTCAATAGTTCTACCAAACACTGCAGATTTTTGTTGGCTACTATGGGTTCATTTCCTCTAGTATTTCTCTAGAAAGAACTCTTTAGAACTTACAAACAGTATGAATAATATTTGTCAAGTTTCATTTGTATCGAGTATTGTATAATTACCTCCTGTGGAGGCACATCAAACGACACTGTTCTCAAGTCGATCTTTGAGTATACATCAATGCATGGTAACACAAAGAAAATACCTGCAATAAATCAATCCAGTTAACCTAGACCAAATAGTAGATGGATTTTTGTTGATGTTGGAAGGAAAGTTTTATGAAACGGAAATATTGAGGTCTTTGGCAAAATTTAGTCTTGACCCTTGGGGCCATTAATAATAATAATCATCTTTATTTAATAAGGTAGCCAAAGGCTTATCTTCCCTAGGGACTTCCTAGCCTTAACGTTACAAAAGGAAGTATCTATACAACTCTATTAATTAAGATAGTCAAACAAAACTATAGTGCAGATTAAATAATTATAGTTATCGCAAAAAAACAGTCTTTACAATCAGTTACAAGTATAAAATCCATGTTATAAGAATATTTGTCTATTAAAATGAGCTTTAGACCCCGTTTACACGGTATCGGACGAATTTGGAATCGGACAAAAATTCGGCCGTTTCGGCCGTGTAAACACACGAGAACCATGGAACCAGACGAATTTGAGACCCCCAACAGGACGAATTCGCGTGTAAACAGGCAAAAAAGGACGAATTTTAGACCGGTTCCAAATTCGTCCGTTACTGTGTAAACGGGGTCTTAATATACGCATTTTTGAACGAGTTTAAACTATTACCGTTTCTTATCAAAGGGTCCAGCGTTCTGTTGCACTGTATTTAAAACTTTTCTAATACATGACTTTGTGTACTCCATTCTACTTACCAGGTCCTTGCGCTCCTCCTGGTGTGATTCGACCCAGACGAAATATGACCGCTCTTTCATATTCTGCCACGACCTGCAAGGGAATAAAATTTAAGGTCAGCGGTTGGGACAGTCAGAGCGACCACCCATTGAACTATATATAGTTCAATGTAGCGACCACCTCAGTCACGTCTGAGATCGTGGGGTGGACATGTACGACGGCAACGCGGTAACAACGGCCAAAACAAACTCCTTTAAATAAATAACTTTAAGGAAAACTTGTCGTGTATTATTCCGTCATTGAGAAGGCTTCTACTAAGCCAATTCACAGAGAACCACTTCCCACGGTTTGAAACGCAGGCGTTGTATACAAGACATATATAAACAAAGCAAGGATGACGTCTACTAAACTCCTGAGAGACTTTTAATTATGCATTTCTTTTCTAGACTCTTTGCAAATTGCAATCGAGTCATTCCATAAAACATTCAGACTTCACCAACGGAGGAAAGGTAACTCTATAAACTCCTTACCTTCAAACAAAAGAATAATGAGAACGGGAAGGTGCAGGCGACGACGATCAATGACAGAACTGTCAAAATCTTTCCACATAATCCGATGTCCCCTTCATCACTAGCTGTAAAATAATAAAAGCATGCTGATTAATAGAACTTTACCAATCCGTAAGAAATTAGTACTAAAAGTTTCTTCTTAGAATGAAGAATAGATGATTATCAACTTCCCAAATTGATCGCGAGATTATTACAGTTAGCGGACAAACTTTAAATTAAATTGTTTGCTGTTGAACTGAGTGAAGAACTGCAAATATCAAAAATAGTCTGGGAGGCATTTCTTGCTAAAAAATTGCGATCATAAATTATTCATTCTTCAAACAATGCTGGAAATTTTGATTTGAAGGCGGGTATATATAGTGTTTCAGATCTTCTTGCCGTTCAGTGATTGATTCAGCGGAGTGGTTGCAGAAAATTATGGCGGTTTTAATTTAGATTTATATATTTACTAAACTTTTATTAATCAATTTGTATATATATACTTAGCTTTACATACTTTATATAACTCACGAATTTTGTATACCTTAATATATACTTTGTTCAAGTGAATACACTGCATGCGGGCTATATCTGCGTATTTTTTGCGCAATCTATAAATTTTATATTTTGACTACAATTCTTTTAGCTAAGTTTGCTTTATAATAGTTTTGTTTGTGGAAACACCACGTAAATTTATTACTGCAGTAATAAATTTACGTGGTGTTTCCACAAACAAAACTATTATATGTTTTATCGCCATGCAAGTTTGCTTTACTTCAAAGCATTGTAAACGACTATACGTGGTACCAGCGCATTGCGCATGATTAGCGGTCAACAAAGTGAATTACGCATAATTAACCATAGTAATATTTTTCACCCTAAAAATGCTTAAAAACTATTGACTTTGTGAATTAAAATAATGAACACACTAGATCTCACCTTTCGTGTAACCTGGCATATTTTTAAGCAACTAAAATATCTTCCTTTTTGTCGTGTGTGGCTGTATTAGACGCAACAGGTTGTCAGGACGCGATTCTTTCGCCCTCAAACGCTTGTAAACTAAACTAGGTTTGGCAGGCAATAACAATGAATATTTTATGAGGGTCATTGCCTGGTTCTTATTGGTTCAATTGACGTGCGTCACCTGTAACTGATTGACCGTTTTTGTAATGAGGTTATATGTTGTTGCATCTTGGGGCTAAAACCTTTTACTAAACGGTATGGCAGTTTTCAATATCGATAACACTATATATGTGATGGTGTGATACTATTCACTTGGATTCGAGTTATATATTTATACCAAGATAATCAGATAAAATATATGCGCAATTATCCTTGATACGCCCTGATTCCTTTCGGTTATTTTCCGGCAGCCACATTTTGAAGAATTTATTTTTTGGGAAAATATAATAATCTCTGACCATTCGTCCGTAATAGTTCTAACTATGCTTTGTCCATTCATATATTTAGTGCATACTTTAAAGTACGTATAATACGAAGCGATAATTGGATTGCACCTGTTGCTGTTTTGAAAGTTCCTAAGCGGTTAGTTGCTTTCTAGGTCCGGTTGTTCCAATTGCCAATTAATGCACAAAGTCGCATTGAACAAATATCTATACTATAATCTAGGATACGTTATATTGCCTGATAAGATTCTGAATAATCTTAACTTGTTCCTTGCAGCCTTATTTGTGTACGTAGTATTTTGTGCAGAAATTAAAGTGCCACCTGTTGTTTTGAGAGTTTCTTATATGTCCTCTTTGAGATCTACTCCATATCAATGGCAGTAAATTAAACTACAATAGATGATAGCAGTTTAATAAGCTATTTTATTTGAGTTTGATTGAGCGGCTGAATGACTAAATTAAACTTCGTTCCAATACATATTCCACCTGTCATATATTATAATCTTGAAGATCTATGGCAGTGTAGGAAGTGGCAACAATAAGAAAGTTTCTGATTGATAGGGATACAACTACTTGAAAAATACAAGGAGAACTTCGACGTTAATTCGAGCGAAGGCCCTTCGTCGAGAAATTAGCTTGGAACGTCGAAGTTCTCCTTCTATTTTCAGCTATACTGTCATATTTTCCCAGCTTGTTGTGAGTTGTATATTAATTAGATGGCACCTGTTGCTTTGCCGAGAACTATATCTCGCGCTTTTCGAAAGAATCTATACATATATATCTTTGATGCAAAAAACTGCAATATTTCTGTTGAATTTGATCAACCTCAACGGTGCGTAAACATCAATTTTTGTTGTGTTTTTTTATGATGGCATTTCAGCCCATTCTCTTTACTATACCAGTTGCTTTAAAAGTATTATGTTTTATTGTACATTAACGTAATCTTAATGCGCAAAATAACAACTTAAACTTATTCAACTCAGTTTTGAGCTGAATATAACAATGACGAATTATGTCTTAACAAACATTGTTAATTTTATGCATTTTCAACTCATTATTTGCAAGAGTAGTATATGTCGCCACCTGTTGCTGAAAACGAATGCAGAATGAATCGTCCTGAAGCATTTCGAAAGCTATGCCGAATTTTTTAAAAAAACCCGGCAAGAGTTGAATTGAATATACCCGAATCTTTAGGACGAATTTAACGAATCTGTATAGTATGTTCAGATAATCGCTTATTATTCGTCGTTCATTTTTAGCCCACTTTACATTTGTGCGTGCAAAAACCGCTAGAAATGCTTGTCATAGGATTTTCCACCTGTTGCAACTTTTACAGACGCTTTGAATATCGTTTAAGCGAGACACTTTAGCAGGGCTTGCTTCAATTTCCTTCGTATTTTCGTATAAACGTTTACAAATTAGCGGTTACTTTTTTATTACGAACCAATATTTGAAATTTATAAAACTAATTAACAAATTAGGTATAATATGATAAACCGATAGAATTTTGATAGATACAAAGCAAAATACCGATTCAAATACTGATTCAATATTTTTCAATTGATACAACCTCACAATATCTAGTATACTGCTTTTAAAAATTCTCTGTGATTTCCAAACATGCGTATTTCATCACAAACAAAACGTAGACCGCTGCAGATTCAATATATTGTCATTCGATCGATTATTCATGCCTTAGCTTTCCCAGTTCAATTTCGAATTTCATTTGGCATTTGCACGAGTTCCTAAGTTGCATTTCTCATGCTTGAATGAAAATTAGTTTTGTCATGGCTTGCTCGCCCCTGTAGAACTTTGAATTACTACAAAAAGCGTCAATGCCATGCAAACGTTATTCAACTCTGTTATATGTAAAACAAATCGTGCATGCAGCACATTTGCAAAGCTGAAATGAATTTACATTCGTTATTGCATTATTATTAAAACTCTGATTGCAATGCAAAACCATTCGGCCATCAGTACAAAAAAGTTTCACAGTCGAACTATAAGCTTAAATTAATTACCCTTGTATAATTATCAACTAAAGCGCAAATCTTAAACACAAACGGCGCATTTCAGCATATAAAACAATTAACAATTAAAGCATTTTCAATACAAAACTATTAAAATTTGAATAAACTACATAATAGTCACTTACTTCCCATGCAATTTAAATCTTGAAGCATTTTCAAGCCGTTTTATCTTTGATATCAGATAAGGCGTCCTTGGTTTGTCTACCGCTGTGTTGACCCGTCAGCGTCTCCTAGCCCAAGCGTTCAAAATATTTTGCGGTACCTGACTAAAACGCTGTGTTTGTAAACATGTTTCAAACCAGTCCCCAGTCTACTCCGCGATACACGTAACCGTTTCTCTGAGCTCGATATATTTCTGGAATCAAGAATGCTCGAACGAAAGACTATTTGAAAACCTTCTAGACATGCATAGTATAGAACTATATCAAACAATTAAGTGATTTTTTTTTGGTGTTGGTGCATGTTGTGTACTCAGGTGAATATGATGTTTGTGATGTTACTCTGAGCCGGTGTATATCCACATCTGGCGAGCTTGAAAAATATGCCCGGCCACGGTGGGAATCGAACCTACGACCTTTGGAATACTAGCCCAATGCTCTGCCAACCGAGCTACACGGTCAGGACCAGGACGGTTCGAGTAAGTGTATTTCGGAACAGAATCTAGTTCCTTCGATACCAATGTAATCTAGAAATATGATTTTTTTTCAGTTCGGTGTTGGTGTTGGTGTTGTGTACTCAGGTGAATATAATGTTTGTGATGTTACTCTGAGTGTATATCCATACCAGGCGAGCTTGAAAAATATGCCCGGCCACGGTGGGAATCGAACCTACGACCTTTGGAATACTAGCCCAATGCTCTGCCAACTGAGCTACGCGGTTAGGATGATTCGAGCCAAAGTGATATTTCGGAACAGAATCTAGTTCGGCCTTCGATACCAA